TGAAGTCTTGGACATTCTTTGACAGGTTCTTTTCTCCAACACTTCCATCAAGATTTTCCGCAAAATCGTGTTCAAGTTTTATGACTCTCTGAATGTACAGACAAGAAATAGTGGTTTGTTAACCTTGGCATGATTCGATGACCAAATGTTAGAAGACTATATTTGCTCAAGAAGTAACACAATACAACAAAGTTTCCAAAACAAGTCTAAGACAAAACCTCATCCAAAAGATTGAGAGAATCCAGAAGAGGGCAAGAAGAGAATCTTGGCTGTGTGCATATATGGCAGATTATTTGAAACTAGAATTCAAATAATCCATATAATAGTAGTAATTTGCAAAAGGAATCGAAGCACAATACTTGCTCGAAAAAAGGAATTCTTATTGAACTCCAATATATGGTATATGGTTTATCATGCACAGCAATATATGTTATACATTATGCTGCAATGTTCGTAAATACCAGAAAAAAAAGATGATTCAAGCCGTTACTACTTGCTACAGTGATCAAAAAGTTAATTGCTATATACGGAAAGAATTAATCCCGTAAAAATCACGTGCTTTAAAGATGTTCGTAAAGCTTTTCTCTAGACCCATTTTCATAGGTCCTCCTTGAATGATCCTGTCAAAAAGAGATTGTATCATTTCAGTGAACTGTATGCACAAAAGAATGAAATGAGACCTCGAAAGAGCTCATCAACAAAGCACAAAAAAGTTTCAGACTTTGAGCTTTAAACCACAGAAAACTTCAGAACAAAGATGTCCAAAGGGTCTTCTTTTGCTACTTGATCATTCAAACTTTAGAACATCACTCCAACTAGAAATCAATCAAAGTAACAGAAAGTTCTGAAATTGAAACAAAAGTCCAGAATCATTGATACCACTGAGATAAAGACAAAACATTTTATCATTGATACCACTGAGATAAAGAGAAAGGATTACAAATCTTGTTAGACAAGAATCTAAATCAACAAGTAAAATTTGTGTAGAGTAAAGATAAGATTCAAGTGTTGACTGTTGAGTACCTAAAGTCATCAACAAGTTGCCGTAGATATACAAATCCTAAACACTACACATGCCGTAGATATACAAATCCTAAACACTACACACACACACTTCACCTTAAAACATAGTGAGGAAAACCATCAAACATCTTAAGGACACGATTCTATGAAGTTTGAGATTTAAAGAAGATGAATACTTGCCGGAAACATACAAAAGCAGAACACAAGAGAGTAAGCTCAAATACCCAAATTCTCAAAATCAATAAGTAAGCTCAAATACCAAAATTTCCTAATGTAAGGCACTATACTTCTGCAAGTTCAAATACCCAATTCTCAAAATCAATAAGTAAGCTCTAATGCCTAAAGTAAAAACCTTAGTTAGAGAAATCACTATGAAACAACTCACGGAGAAGATGGGTTTAAACCCGACATGAGGGAAACACGAAAAAGGACTACTTGAAATCGAAGAAACCCATATTACAGAACACTCTCAATACAAAAATCCATTGATTGGCAAAAACGTAAGCATGAATCAGAGAAATAGATAGAAATTAGGAGGGATTGAATCTAAATTGCAAACGAAATCAAATTTACCTTAGCTCGTCAGGGAACAAGCTCGTAATCGCCGGCGTGAGAGAGCCAAAATCGTCGGCGTGAGGAGAAGCGGAGGGACCGAAGGCAGGATCGAAGAGATGCAATGGATCGAAGAGATGCAATGAATTTTTTTTTTTTTCTGTAGCCAAAACGCGTTGCAACGCCAATCATCACATGCCACATCATTTGATACTGGGTATCAGAAATATCAGTCCAATGATACGGCTCAGGCCCAAAAAGGTTGTTTGGTCCATTAAATAATATTTTCTGGGCTTCTGATACTCAGAAAATATCACCACTGGGCATGGTCTTAGGTTCCTATTTTCAACTAAAAAAAGTATCCAAAATCTTCTAAAATCCTTGTTCAGTATTTTTTTTTAAAAGTACTTGTCAATTTTGAATAACACTGGATTTCATATGATTTTTGTAAATTCTTTATTGAATAACAGGAGATTGTAAGTTATTTTAAGTGATTTTGTAAAAATATTAGATTCAATAACACTGGATTTAGAAAGTGATTTAAGAATCACAAATTGAATAACAGTAGATTTTAATAAAAACCCCAAATCTTTCAAAATCCAGGTTTCAATACACCCCCCTAAGTAAATAACCGTTAGTGATTAAGACACTAAAACGATTTTCGAAACCAAAACCCTAGAAATTCTGCAAAACCTGAAATAGACACCAGAGATCGGCAAAAACATCACCAAGTATAGATTACGGGGCCGATTATGAGAATATGCAAACTATTCGACGAAACATTTAGGGCTTCTACATCACAGCGATCAACTCAACGAAACATTTAGATGCTTCTGTAGTTTGAAATTGACACAAACCTCGAGAATTGGAAAGAACTAAGGTGCAGAAACGAAATCATAGGATGAATTCGAAAAATCTAAAAGCGAAATCGAAGAAGCTTACCTGCGATTTTGGGAGAGAGAACGAGAAAGAAAAATAAACACCGATTAAGCTGTTACGACCTCAATGGATATGACTGGGCCTTTGTGGGCTTGTTTATCAGTTTATTGTGTGAGCCCAAAATACTTATCATCCTCTTCGTATTTTTCTATCGTTCTCTGTAAACGATTATCTAGAAACAACTAGGATCTAACCCGCGGCCGCCGCAGGTGTATATTTTGATACAATTTTTTTTGTAACTTTTTTTCATTGGTTAATATGTTAAAAATGGAAATTAGATTGGTAGTTAATATTAAACGTACATGGTGAGACGGAGGCGTGAAATTGTTGGGTTTTGGATTTGTGTAAATTAGAATAGGAAATTAGTCTTAATGATCAGATTTTCTATAGCATCGTAAATTCCTTTTGGTGTACAACATTTTTTTTTGTAATGTTGTTGGTTAATAGTATGGAATTTAGAGTGTTAGATGAATACTAAAGGTATGTGATTAGACTAAAACTTGGAATTCTTGTGTTTTTGTTTGGTGTGTATTATAATGCAACATTAATATTAATTAAGTAAAATGTAGTAGTAAGAAGTCATATGTTAATAAATTCTACTCCTACCAATGAAGGAAAAAATATTATTTTAAATATAAGCAATAAAAGCATCACTTATAATTATAAGTTTATTCAGAAGTTTTTGTTATAAGATGCTTTTGTTAGAAGCATCAAAGATTAAGAAGTAATAAATGTTTATTTATTTATAAAAATTTAACCAATAGAAAAAGGGACAGCAGAATTCAAATGGTCATAAATAAACTAAATAAACATAAATTATGCATAAAAATCTGAAAAATCTTATATTATGGAACAAGAAAAAAAGGCTTAAACATCCTATAATTTGGAACAGAAGGAGTATAATACTATTGATCAAACACATGTATATTTAAAACCTATAATAACTGATTTGAGGAACAGTAATCTATCAAAAATATTTCGTTTGGTTACAAGCAAATAAAATCAGAAAGGTCTATTGACTATTGCAGGTCTGTAAAAAATGACCATATACGAAAATAAATTGGCTGTTGTATTCTAAAAGCCTTAAAAAGTTATAAAAGTTTTATTCAGTTTTAAAAAGAGTTAAAAGTTCTATTCATTAAAAACATAAAATGATGTTTAAGAGTGTGCACCAATCACAGAGTCGTCGTCCTTATCATCCTCTATAGACTTTAGGGATTGGGTATTACAAATTTTATGCGTATGTTTGGGTTCGTATTAGTGTAGTAACAATTAGTTATTATTTATGTGGCTTAAATACTTACATTTATTTAGAGTTTGCTTAAACAATTTTCATCATTATACATAGAATTTCTTACACAACATTTTTTTTTTTTAAGGAACTTCCATTAATAATAAGAGGTTACAGAAGAGAAACGAAAAACAACATAAAAAAGCTTACAGACCTTACCTACTTACCAAACTAAGATTGAAAAATTTCAAACTAAGTAGATAAAAGAGAGACGGAGTCGGAACGTTGCGCTCTAGATAGAGGGTCCAGCTTACACCTGAGAGAATTTTGAATGTCCAAAATCAAACTCGTAGGAGGACGAGAAGACTGAGAGTGAAGTCTAGAGTTTCTTTCCTTCCAAATCGAGTAGATAGAAGCTTGGAAGATAATCTTGAGAATTAGAGAAGTGTTTTTGTTGCGGCATGGATCTTTCATCCATCTAAGACCATGTTCCAAAAGAATTGGAGGAGAAACATGGGCTTTAGATGTGAAGAAAGACCAAACCTCATTAGAAAAAACACAATCGAAGAAAAGATGTTGAAGAGTCTCATCAAAGGAGCTGCAGAGGAGGCAAGATGCTGGTACATTAAGTCCCCACCGGATGTTATTTAACTTGCATGTTATTCTTACACAACATTTTAGCTCAACTTGCATGTTATTTAATAAATGAAGAGAGTTGATGACCATAAAACAAAATGTTTATTGGGTTCAAAATGCATTTGTAAAACCGGGTCGTCGGATCTTTTTTGTTTTTTTGCCGACAACCGGGTCGGATCTAAAAGTCGACACGAATGCAATAGGTATGACCGTAAGACAATCCACTTAATGATTAAGCTTAGCTAGTTGTAAACATATTATAAACATATTACGTCTTTCATAAATACATTATTAATAATTAAAATAAGGTGCCAAATGATTGTCTCTGGCAATCCGAATGGTGTTAGTTGACAAATGTATGTTTCAATCATGTGACTACCTTCTTTGTTGAGAAATCCAAGCTCCTTTGAAGTAACGGTTGACTTAGCCACGGACTTCGGTGATGGAAACTGGAAAGGTTCCTTTGTGCAGACAATGAAGAATCGGATTTTAATCTCATTGGCCCCTTTTGCTCATATCATTCTTTCAAAAACCCCCACTTATTCTCATTACCCCTTCTCCTTCCCAATATATTTGAAAACCAACTTTACCCTTCTCCTTTATCTTATTATTTATATATTTATTTTTTCTACCAATAAATTATTAAAAGTAACCAATCATATTCATTCTTTCTCCTCTCTTATTAACCACAAAATCCTACCCAAAAACCTCAAAAAAACGCATTCATCATTCTCTTCTTCTAAAGATTTTGAGACATATCTCGGATCTTCATTCTCTTCTCTCTTCTTCTTCTTCGTCATCCACCATTTAAGCTCACAATGAAATCTCCAAAGACATATCTCGGATCCACATATCTCCTCTTTTCTTCTTCTTCGCCATCCACCATTAAAGCTCTTTAAGGTATTTAAGATAAGTATACTTGTTTACTTCTTCTTCTCCATAAACCATACTTGTTTTCCTAGTGTAGTAAGGTCTGACGTTGGTAACTATGATTGAGAAAGGTTGAATTTGTAGCTTGAATGCGGTTTTTTATAGAAATATTTGAGGATTGCAGATTTGGGACAACTGAAACCATTGCGTACAACTAAGTAGAATATTTACGGAACCCTAAATTTGGTGCAACTGAGGCAAATGGATATAACTATGTTGATGGACTGTGGTGGTGGTGTCCTTGCTATGTACGTAGGTGAACCATCACAACAATATCCGGTGGTGGTGGAGAATGAAGAAAGAGATGTAGAAAGAAATGCATGTAGACCTATTTTATGGGACGATGAGCTTGATATTATAGTAGGCCAAGAATTTTGAAGCAAATAAGCAATACAATGTTTAGTTGAAAAGGCTGGACATAAAAATGTCTTTGAGTTTGTTGTAAATAAATCGGAACCGTTGAGATTTGTGGTGGCATGTTCAGAAGCACATAATGGGTGCGATTGATATCTACGATTTGCGAGGCGTAAAACGTCTAAGCCTTTTTCTATACGAACTCATAGAAGGTTAATTTCTTTGTCGTATCTTTACAAATTAATTTGTTTTGTCTTGGTACAACCAAGTACAACCCGTACAACTAAGTTCTATTGCCTTGGCTAGTTTTTAGAATTTTATTAAATATGAAAATTTAAAACCAAATTAAAAAAAAAAACTTAAAAATTGCATACACAATGGTAATGAAACAACAACAAGTTTTTGACAAAAAATATCATATTTTTCTAAATTAATAAAATTGTTATCACAAAATCCCACATTCATACACTAACAACCTTATACTTTCATGGTTACTTTGTAGATTTGAACTAAAATTTTTAAATTTTTTTAAATACTTGTATTTTGATAAATATAAATACATAGATACAAAGTAATGGTATTTTGATGAGGCAATACCATTGGTTACACCCACAAAAATTAATTTAGAGTTAATAACAACTACATTTACTAAATTCTCGATATTGTACAACTATGAGCAAAAATGAGCAACCGAGTACAACTGTACAACTATGAGCAAGTTTTAGATATTTAGGTAAGATATTTCTCAGATATTTTAAGATATTTTAAGATATTTTAGATATTTTAGATCTTTCATTTATTTATTTTTATTTTAATCAAAACACTTCGATTCATAATTAAAATACATTTTTTTAAAAACACTATATTTTTAGCATACTTAGATTCATAGTTTTTTGGTGATTTTTTTATCAAAAGAATTAGATTCATAGTTTTTTGTTTTTTTTTTTTTGTCAAAAAAACTCAGATTCATACATAAACCCAGATACATAGTTGTACCTGATCGTATCAGTTGTACCTAAACACTTAGATTCATACATAACCTTAGAAACCAAAACACAATCCGAACATTTGTACCTAAAGCCAAAACACCAACACAATGGTATCAAAAACCATACAATATATATCTAAAACCACCAAAAGACCTTCTTCTTCTCCTTCTCCTTCTTCATCTTTTCTTCCGTATACGGTTCGTTGACATGAATTGAAGGCTTAACTATCTTTTTCGGTGCCAACTAACATTTCTTCTTAGAACATTGCTTAAATCTCTGTTTTTGGATACTCTCATAATCTCATCATCTAAACGAAAAGAGATAAATAAGCAATCCAAACACAAATTCACACAATCTCATTATCTATCTACATAATTATAAGAGATAAAGTTTGTTTTCAACACATTTCAAATCCGAATCCGAAATCCGACATTTAAACACATTTTGAATCTATGTAAGGGAAAATTCAAACCCAAAAATAGAGACAAATTCAAGTTTGAAATTTGGGACAAATTCATATTCGAAAATTCAATATCCGAAAACAAGGACAAATTCAAATCTGAAAATCCATCACTTTCACAAAACAAAACCCAACTCAATCCATCCAAAATATGAATCAAACAAAAGAACGAACGAGAATGGAGAATTTGTAGCTTACAAAGAGAGGACACGGACGAACATGAATTTGGATTTCTCACGGTGGATTTATTGCATTTATTGAATTTGGATTTCTTCTTTTTATCAATATTTAAGCCTTGGCTCTTGAACACCAAAAGCAAACTAGTTTGTTATCTTACCACTGATTTATTGCATTTTCTGACATGTTTATTTGTTTTATTGTTGTTCATATTTTGAGTATTTTTGCTTGTTTTTCTTAATCCTTTGTTTCTGCTCCGAAGGTAATATATGCACAAGATTTCATTGTACTGTATGCTGCAGATAATCATCGAGAAGCTCGTGGATGTCGTTTATCTATGTAGATTAAGCCATTGTGGAAGTTTTGGGCAAGCAAATCTTTTGGAAAACCAAATCTTCACTATCATTTGTCTTAACTACCAATAGGTCTGATTCTAAAAGACCCTGGAAAGAAACAAGGAAGAGAACGATTGGGTGAAGGTGTTCTACCATATTACTTTCCTTGAACTTTCCTAGTCATCACTTTTTTCCCAATGTTGAGGGAACATATGCTTTTCTGAATAACCGTGCTGGAACCATGTCCCCTTTCAAACACGTCAAAGTGTTTGCGTTGGACGATGGTGGTGAGGTAAATAAATATGACTTTCTAACCTTTTTAAGAATACTAAAAAGAGCATTATTTAAGTTCTAAAGATAATAACTTTTTGAATGATTTTCGTTTGCCTCTGATGTGATTTGGAAAGAGGTGGATGAAACTAGGCTGATGTGCGTTATTGAATTAGGTGAAAGTATAGGTGACAAAAAGTACAACATGATTGGATTCGTTTTTGTTTCTGTTCTTGCCTCTCCGGTTTAATACATACAGAGATTCTTTTTTACGTTTGTAGGTGATTTTGAATCCGCAAGGCGCCTTGGCCAATTCTAAGAATCATTTCCTCAGATAGGTTAGTCTCGCTGTACATTTGATCAGCCCTAGCACTTTGAGGGACTCCCGATTTCATTTTCTTTTCCTAGAATCTGGAAGAGGCAGGTGATTGTGGTATATATGCCAGTATGCTGATCTAATCTAACAAATCGATAGTTGTGTAAGCTTACAGATTCTCTCACATGTTTTATTATGATGATATATATTCTCTGGTTGAAATTGATCCTTGACATTCATGAGTTCCTTCTAATGTAAGGGACATGCTGTAAAATGCCATTACCTGCTACTGTCAAAACAGTTTCTTGATTTACATATACATGAACCAATAAAACGATTAACTTTCTTTGTTTCCAGGATATCTCTGAAGAATCATCCTCCAGACAAGGATAAGGACAAGGACACTGACATGGAACCAGGTAAGAAACCTTAATTGTGAATCTATTCCCTACGTTCGGATGGTTGAGTACCCTCATCTATATTCATTGAGCTATAAGTAAGGTATGGTATTCCAAAAAGCAATGCAACTGCTCTCAAGAAGGCGATGAGAATATAATCTACTTGCTTTGTTTGAAGAACAGCCTGATCTACTTCATGGCCTGGTTAGAAAGAAAACATCTATCCGATTTTTTTCTTTTTTCCTGTATAGTTCTCATCATGTTTAGAGACCAATTCTTCAGTTTTCTCCTTCAGTTCTAAAAGATGAGGGAGTCAAGGTTTATCAGGTGGTTCAGAGTGCAGTTTCAACTTAGGGCGTATCAGGCTGGATTCAACTGCGGTTTCAATCGCGCTGAAGCGGTTAATGTGGCTCCGGTTTATCGGTTGGCTCATGGACAGAATGTCGTAGAACTATATAGTAAAGAGACAAGGAAGATTTCTCTGTCTCATGACAAACTTCTCCTCGGAGCATCTTCTTAGTGCTGGTAAGTTCTCCGGTTTATGGTGTTGTTACTAGCTTAAAGGCAACTAACTATGGGATGTATGTTCTTAGTGCTGGTAAAGCGAACACAGATCAGCAGTAAGGTTTGTTCCTGAAACTTGTACTTTCTTTTACTGCTTTAAATTTCTTGACAAGCTTATTGTTTTTTTTTTTTTTTTTGGTTTAAATTCCCTGAAGTCTAAATTTAAACTGGTATCTCTTCTTATATTGATAAGTGGCCAGTGAGAGTTAGCATTAGTTAGCAAAGTTTGTTTGAAGATTTTCACACTGGAATTTTCTATAAGTAAACTTCTTCAATCATTTATATACCACATGCTTAATTGCTTAGTATGAATGCAAGAGCTGATAAATGACCAAATGTGGTAAAAAACAATTTCTACCAGAGGGTGGAAAAAACTTATCAGTACCAAACTGCTCTAGCCACACTTATCATGTATCATCTGGTACAAGGCAGAATGATGACTATACCTTGCCATGTACAAGGGGGACTGTGGCCTCAGAATGAAGAGCTTAAAGATTTCCAAGTGTTCTCTAGATCTACGTTTATGTCTTCCTACGGTGCTCCTGAAATTGACTAAACAGTGTCACCATTCGCTATTGAGCCTTGGATTTTGTCCCGTCCCGTTCTCCCATAAGCATGACCCTTTTTAAATTTAGGATTGTAATCTGTATATCCAGTTACCCCTGCATGTCTAAAAGCCTACATTTGAGAGGAAGAATGGATTGTCAATATCTGTTTTATTGAGAGGAGATTCCCTATAGTAATTTTAGTATCTTTTTGTACAGCTGTGAAATCGTCTTTGGGGGGCCAAAATAGGTTGAAAGCTCTGCAGAGTAAACACACTGGCAGCCAAAGTGTAAAGGGATCATCTAGCGCTAAAGCTTCAGTGGAAAAGTCTCTACAGAAGAGACTTCACCCTGGAATGTTATCTACTCTCACTACAAGAAAAATGAGCATTGATAGCACATTACGATAGCGCAGTTTTCGTAACTGCTATTAAAAAAGACTAACTAGATTGGAGCTTTCTATTATAGCATTTTAAAAATGCTAAACCGACATTTCACTTAAGCGGGAGTTTTTGGAGACTAATTTTTTACCATTGGCGCTAATACTTAGACAAAAATAACACAATTACCGCTACTGTTTCTTTTTATATTCCGAGACCAAACAGAAAAAAAAACTTTGAAAAAAAAAAAACCCTATTCTCTTCATTCTATCTCGATCTACTCCTCCACCATTAGACGACTTGCTTCTCCTCTTTTAAACCCAACCGCCTCTCTTCCCACTTCTCTTTATCCGATCTCAAATCTCACTCCTTTCTCCAATCTCAAATTTCCCTCTATTTCTCCAATCTCAGATCCATCGTTTTAGAAGTAATCAAAGTTTCAAGACATACCAAGTTTCTACTAGATCTACATGGATTTATTATGCTGGGATTCTCAGACATGGGTTCACGACTGTTCTCCTCCAATGGCGGTCAAATCCAATCGCCTCCTCCATTTGCGCAACGAAGAAGAAGAAGAAGACCACAAAAGCCATTTAGATCTTTATGGCGTCTTCTCTTACTTTCAAATCCATTCTCGGATCCACCAAACCCGGTTCTTCTTCTCTTCCTTCGGAGCTCCGTCGTCTATCTTCTCCCGCCGTTCAGATCTATATCCGTACCCAAACTAGGAAAAACTTTCGTGAGTTTTCTGATTATTTTCGAAAATTTTAGATTCAATCCTTTGCATAAAGAAGAAAGATGTGTAATTTGAATCTTTAGGGCAGTTCTGATTTATTGAATTGATTCACATTTCCGCTAAAACAGAAAAGGAGAAATGGAAATTATGACTCACTAAGACTTAGACACGAAAAGCATCTGAGAAACAAGAGTACAACTTTTGATTATTCAATGATATGTGAAGTAAGAAAAAGAGTAAAACTTTTGATTTGTGAGTTTCGTACATGGAAATTTACAACGAAGAAATTGACGATCTTTTAGGTGTTGACTGTTGAGAACCAGAGACTACAAATTCATGAACATTTGGAGGTTGGTTTTGATTATTTTCATCAGTAATATCTTCTTCATTAGTTTGCTTATGAGTGTTTAAATTCTCTTGCTTTCTCTTGATGTACAACGTGGAGTGTTTGTTGCTGGTCTTAAGAAAGAAATTATTAGTGACGCTGAACAGATTTTAAAGCTTATAGATTTTGGATAAGCTTTTAAAGGCAAAGCTTTACTAAGAAGTATTTGTTTTCCTACATTTTTGTATGTCTAATGTGTATTGACTTGGTCTTTTCAAGGGTGGAGGCAGATCTTCTGCTAGAGACACCATTGGAAGAGTTGCTCCTGAGCTTTGGCAAGAAAATTTTGAAGCTATTTGCAGGAACTGAGGTTTGTTTACTTTCAGTTTGCAAATGACATTGCTCTCAAAGAATCAATTTACATCTAACTCTTTGTATACTTTCTGACGTTTGGTTTGTTCTTTTATCTCTGTCTTTTCTATCTTAGTATATCCTTGCAGTATGTCCCTTAGTTAAAAACTGATGTTGCCACTTCTTATTATGAGACGACATGTTCAAGTAAGGAGATATAGAAAGTCCATGAACGTTTTTGATTGTATTGGTTTCGTTTGTTTTGTTTTATTGTAAAACAGGTTAAGTGAGAGGATGGTTTCAGAGACTTGTTTTCGTCATGTGATAAGAATATTGTGAGGCTTAGGTACGAGATAACACATTCTACGGGTATAAAGAAGCTAGTTTAAGAAGATGATGATTTTGAAGGCTTTAAGAAGTTTTTTATTTTCGCCTTGTGATGTTAGTTTTAGTTTGTTTAAGACTAGGCAGCATTTTAGTAATAAGTATAAGACTTAATATGATGTTATGTATGACTTGTTGGTTAATGAAATATTTACCTGTTGATGATATATATATATATATATATATATATATATATATATATGTCCAATTAAGTAAATTTTACAAAATTGGGTTCCAAAATAAAATTTATTTTATAAATCAAATTAAATTTATATAGCAAAAAAAAATCTACGACATTATATAAAATAGCACTAAACGTGGGTTACAATAAAGTATATTATAGCGTTTGATTAAAGCAATAATATAAAAATGCTATCGTATGTGGGGGTTTACCATAACATGCCGAAAATGCTATCGTATGTGGGGGGTCTATAATAACTGGGGCAGAAACAGCGTTTATGAAAACGCTATGAATGACGTATTATAGCACTCCTGTCGTGTTAAGAATGTGGATTTTTCTTGTAGTGTCTTGATCGTGCTACGGCTCATTATGGTGTTGTTATTACCTTAAAGGCAACTAACGATGGAATGTATCTGGACGCAATACCCTGTTGAACTTTGAAACTGGACGCATCCAGACCAGAACGCGATTCAATTAGTTACAAGCGATGATCTGACTGGGAAGGTAGTCACCAACTTACTATTATATCATCAAATCTTTTCATTCCATTACTTGCATTATTGAATTAATTGTGACTACAACTGTATATAAGGCTTTTGGTGGTCGGGTAGAACAACACTAATGCAATCTAGCTGCTTGTGAGACAATGGGATCTGCAACAACTATTTGTAGTGACAAGACTGGAACTCTTACAACAGATCACATGACAGTTGTAAAAGCCTGCTTCTGTGAACAAGCCAAAGAGGTTAATGGTTCTGATGCTGCTATAATATTTGCCTCTAGTATCCCCGAGTCTGCTGTTAAACTCCTACTGCAATCTATATTTACTAACACTGGCGGTGAGATTGTTGTGGGCAAAGGAAACAAAACCGAGATACTGGGAACACCCACAGAAACTGCTCTGCTAGAATTTGGGTCGTCACTCGGAGGGGACTTCCAGGAAGTAAGACAAGCCTCAAATGTTGTGATAGTTGAGCCCTTCAACTCTACAAAGAAAAGAATGGGAGTTGTCATTGAGGTGCCTGAAGGACATTTCTGGGCGCATTGTAAGGGTGCTTCTGAGATAGTTTTAGATTCTTGTGATAAGTACATCAAGAAAGATGGTGAAGTTGTTTCCCTTGATGAAGAATCTACCAGTCACCTAAAGAACATAATCGAGGAATTTGCTAGTGAAGCACTTCGAACTCTTTGCCTTGCTTATTTCGAGATTGGTGATGAATTCTCATTAGAAGCGCGTATACCAAGTGGCCAATGATGTCATCGTCTTCTAGTCTTTAAAACGTCATTACCTGTTTCTCTGCTTGCCACATCAGGTTCTTGCAAGAGCTTCTTTGCCCATTCATATAAAATACAAAAAAGAGAAAGAAGAGTTATTAGTTATCTTTTTTTTTTTCAAGAAAATCAGATAAAATTTGGAAATAAAAATAATAGTAATAATGTTAACAAATATGAGTTTGTTAGTTAGGGATAAACATTGATATGAGTCTTCTGGATCAATATCATGAAGATCATAAACTTTCTATATTCAAATACTTCATTTAGATAACTTTCTTATATAAGTTTTGGATGTATATTTATGATAATTTTATTCCTTTAATTTCCAGTATGAAATTCGATGCATGCATTTAAGGGTTTCTCCTAGTGGGCCAAAACCCATAAAATGAAAGCCCATCATCTGAGATCCATAAAATGAAGTTCGATGAATTTAACTGTAAAATTTGTTTCGCAGAATTAGAAACAACTAGAGAATTGCACACTGAAGAAGCTCATTTGGCGCCAAACGGAGCTCACATTCCGAAGAAGCTCAAGGTCCAGATCGAAGATTATCAGGTAATTCCTTTCCGAAGATGCCATCAATTTTTCCGATAATCATTGTTGGAGGTTTTGGGAGAACTTATATGATTTTCTGACAAAGCGATTTGACTTGTTATGTGATTTCGGAAATGCTCTATGATTTCGGAGATGCTCTTTGATTTCTTATACAAGATCTAGATACATTTGATTTGATTCGAAGAATGATAACCAAATTTTTTCTGATAAATCATTGTTTGAGGTTTTCGTAGATGTTTGTTTTTTGAGATTCTCGTAGATGAGGTTTCTGACAAAGCGTTCTTATACAAGATCTAGATCCATTTAATTTGATAATAGGATGATACTCAACTTATTTCTGATAATCATTGTTTGAGGTTTTTGGTTTTGGTAGATGTTATCTAATTTCTGGCGAATGGAATTGATGAGCTGTTATGTGATTTCAGAGATATTCTGTGATATATATCCATTAGATTCACATTATCATTTTTTATTCAAAAATTATACAGAACAATTCTCATGGAGGCTCATAATCTTCACTGTGTTCGGTTTAACCCCTCTGATGAAGAGATTTTCCAAACCTTTTTAATCCCCAAGTTGGCTCTTCCTGAAGATGCTCTGTTGCCCAATTCGTTGATTGAGCCCTTCGACTTCTATCGCTTTGATCCTATCACAGCTGATATAAGATTGGAACTAATCCAACTTATGATCACTCAATGATCAAGAGATTCCAAGCTTAATCCCGCGGAAGGATGGAAACGACGTGGAGATAGAATGATTGACTCGCTCAATCAATGGGTTAATCGACTCACTCGATCAATGAACGAAAGAAGGTTGTTGAACTTATCAACAATCTTGATCCGCAGATTCAAATAGGCCTAAGAGACTCACTCACTTAAGACTAATGAATAAACGACAAAGACTCAAACTTTGACAAGAAGAAAATGTTCTTATTACTTTAATATGATCAAGGGTGAATAAAAATGTTACAAGTGACATGAGCTTTATAGGCTCGACCTCTAGGCATTTCTAACAGTCTAATAATTCAAAAAGGAAAGAAAATACACGATCAAATGAATGAGAAATATCAAAGGGATTGTCTTTGATATAATGTAGCCGTTAGGCTTGAATGCTTGGTCCAAAAAGGGAAACTCGTGGGCTTTTATATCTTGAAAGCTTCTGGATGATTCCATGGCTTATTAATCTTCTAATAACTCCCTTAAGTCGCACCAAATCAGAAGATAGCCGTTGGGGTTGGGCTTTGAATCCTCTCGGGTCCATATATGGTAACTCTTGGTGTATGATTAGGCAAGATTGAATCCACTTAATACAATGGCTGAGAATGAAGCTTGAGGTGATATTAGGAGCCTCTAGTTGTATTATAAACTCTCCTGGACGCCAAAGTTTGGTTTGCAAGTGACTAAACCCGTCAGCTTCCAAATAAGGCAAGCCGAGAATCATCTGGTTTGGAAAATTAATATCTCCTAAACCAAAATCGGTTTTGACTTGATTCCAACTCGAAGAGCTCCTATGATGAGTCAAGAATGCAGAAACATTCACTTCGTAGCTTAAATCTTTCTGTTCGGGTCGGAATCCTCCAATTACTCCGTATATGTCCAAATCGGGTAAGCTGGGAATCACCCGACTTGTAAATGGAATAACTCCTTCGTGTGAACTCTTTTTTGGCTGATTCTTCTTCGAGGTGCTCGGTATTTGAGCTGAGAATGCATTCCAAGTTTTCTCTGGGCAGGATGAATTGATCTTGGACTTCGTCTGGACTGAACAAGGCTCAGGGGTCTTCTCGGGTAGGCTGAATTGGCTTTGGCCTGAAGTTTTGGATAAAACTTGGTTAAAAATCCCACTTGGCTGCTCCTGGGTTGTTGCTTCTCGCCCATAATCTTCTCCATGGTTGGTTCTTGGGTTGATGACCGCATCAACAGCTGAAAAACCAGGGAGCGAATTCTTTCATGAGGGAAATTTTTGGTATTTTGTGACAAGGACCAGACTCAATGCACGTTCAATGAAGCCCAACAGAACTATTCGAATTAATCCCTTCCTTGGAAAGTGGAGGAAGTATGGTGTTACTGAGAAGATCACTCAAGGAGATGTGTTCCTTGGTAAAAAAACACACATATGATTATCTCAACCAACAAAATTTGAAGACAGGATGGAGAATGAGAGAGTATGAAAGGCAAGGGAATGCATTTCAACGGCTAGTGGTGGTGTATCTGTTGTACAAAACCACTTTGGACCAGACTCTTCTTGATGATCAGGTATAGTGATCCAATGAATTGATAATTTTAGTTTTGTTGATAATCTGATTCTGAGATGTTTCCATTTGACTATTGTCAAATCAGCAACATGTGCAACAGGAGAATGAGGTTCATGCTCATGGAAACGTGGTGGGAGTTGATGATGTTGTTGATCAGGAGGTGGAGCACCATCAGATTGATCGAGACGTTGTGGAGCAAATTGTCAATAACCAGGTAAAACAAAAATACCTTATCTGAGATTTTGTAGGATTATTTTGATAATCTGTAATTTACTTTTTGAAATTGCAGCAACAGGGGAATGATGTTCATGCTCATGGAAACATGGTGGGAATTGATGATCTTGTTGATCAGGAGGTGGGGCACCATCAGTTTCATGGAGAGCAAATTGTTAATAACCAGGTAAAACAAAAATACCTTAGTTGAGATTTTGTAGGATGTTTTTGATATAGATTGATGAAAATCTGAGAATTTATTTGATAATGATAATATGAGATTTATTTTTGAATTGTAGAATTAGGCTCATGGAATCGTGGATGACTGGGATGACGTTTTCGACCATCTTGGGGTAATTCTCCATTTTTCACATACATATTTTTTTTAGGTATTGTTTCAAACTAACATTTAATTTTGACGTGCAGGATTTTTGAACCAAGTTGAGTTTTTAAAGTGTTTTGAGCTTGAAGACTTTTAGCTAATATTACTTGGATTTAGTTTGTATTTCAGACTAGTCTCGTCCTATCTTTAGTATATTGGCTCTGTTTTCTTGTTGGTGTTAACCCATTTCAATTTTAGATGCTCTCACTACACAAAAATATATTTCAAAAACTCTTTTGTTATTTGTAAAACTTTTCAGAACAGCCAAATGTTATCATCTAACAACCGGTCATATTTCTTTATTGTTTTGTTTGTTTGTTTATGGTTAAGATATGCTGAGATTTTTATGAGTTCTCGTAGATATATAGAAAATACTGGCGAAAAAAAGAAAAAAGAAATTGATACACGAGACTTTTGAGGGTTATATTGCAGGTGACTTTTGAATTCGCGGTATTGACCCGCATTTTTTCTAGTTGGAGGTTTAACTTGCAAAAGAAAATATTATTTGGAGGATTGTTTTGCACAAAACCCATAATGAAACTATGAAAGTATCAGATTCAAAGTTACTTATAGATCGTAGTAATAAACAAAATAACAAACAATGAATCATCATATTTACCGTTGTAAATTTAGATATTTAATTCAATAAAAGATATTCAAATGTGTTATATGGGTAAAAAAAATTTTGTTCGAAATTATGTGGACATGTTTTGTAATATTAAGGACAATAAGTCATATATTAATAAATTTGATTACAAAGAAAAAAAATAACACATAACTCTTAAATACATGTTTGATGAAAGGAGAGATGAATGACACTAGCTAAGAAAACCTAATTTGTAAACCTTAAAAAATATAACAAAAATCATTAATAACACCGAGTCAAAACTCGAAACTACATTAGGAAAACGAACAATAACAATTATTAAACTTTGTATCCTCTTTTATTTTATATAATTTCCAAATATTAAGTTACTCAAGTACTTTTTCTTGTATTTATAGTACATGTTATTATTGATAAAATATAATTAGAAACTAACAAAAATCATTAACAACACTGATTCAAAAGTTGAAACTACATTAAAAAAACCAACAAGAACAATTATTAAACTTTGTTTTCTCTTTTTTTTTTACATAATTTCCAAAAATTGAGTTACTCGAGTTCTTGTTCTTGTATTTATTACATGTTATTACCGATAAAATTATGTTTAATTATTAAAGTTAATCATGTTGCATGTCTTCCTACGAGAAATTAACCACATTATCCGTTAATAAATATCTAGCAACTGATAATTTTTTTAAGTTCAACACATATTGCATTATATAGTTTCTATAGAATAGAAAATTAAGAAAAAATAAATATAGGAGAATATGTTATCATGTAACTTTTATAATCCATGCGTTTAATCTTATCAGTAACAAATAACTCATAATCAAAGCATTGGTTTATCTCCTAAATAAAATATTTTGTTTCTAGAGAATCTTTTCAATGCATTATTGAAATATGTAACATCCATGTCAATTTTAACTTAAAATATATTTTGAACAATAACTTTAAGAAGATATTACTAAATGTTGAGAGATAAATCAAGAAAATGAGTTAGTAAAGAGCATAAACATATTTACAAAATAAAATTTATCGTATATGATTACTTGTTTTCTTGAAACACAAGGAAGAGAGTTATGAAACATTTGTAACATTTTTACCCGCCACTAATTATCTCTTTAACATATGATTAATCAAAATGTTATAAAATATCTCCTTAATCAAATAGATTTTCTTTTCTTCTCAAGAAGATTTTTAATGCATTATTTAAACCATGTAATATTCATGTTAATTAATTACAACCGAACAAATATATTACTATATGTTAAAAAGATCACCGGAAAAAATGAGTTAGTAAAGGGCATACATATGTTAATAAGAATTTTTTTTTTTAGCAAACAAAATAAGATTTATGGTATAACATTACTTTTTTTTCTTTCTTAAAACACTTATTTTTGGTATATCATTTCTTGTTTTCTTAAAGTAAAAGATCAGTTATGAATCATTTGTAACATTTTGAATCGCACCACTAATCTATTTGATAGATTTATAAATATATATAAGATTGTTATAAATTTTAAAATTATGTAAGAGACATTTTAAATATTCAAGAAGACATCATTATTCATTTAATGATGAAAATCATATTTATAATCCAAATCCAATTACTTGAAGTTCCAAATCATATTTGTTTCCTTTTCCAAATACAAACTAATAATAGAATTATAATGAAGATGACAACATAATTGGCTCCAAGACTCACACCTATTATATAAGTCGATTTTTTTTCCTAGAACCAAAATAAAATAAACAAGTGATCAGAGAGTCTTTACTAGGCATTGGCATTCAGTTTCGGTTCGATTTCGCTCAGTTTCAATTAGTTCGGATATGATAATATAATAACCTTTAAGATATTTTAGGAAATTCTTTTCGGATCGGTTTAATTTTTTTTTGGTTTGGTTTGGTTCAAATGTTTGAATAGATAACATAACTAACCAAAATTTTATCGGGTTTTTCCCAAAATAACTGAAATTAATCAAATATAACCGAAATTAACTGAAAAATACAAAAAAAAAAAACAAAAAAAAGATAGAAAGAAAATTAAAATTTAATTCAATTTTGTAAAAAATATATTTAATTTTGATAAATATAACTAACAACATTTGGATATGTCGATTATTTAAATGATTTGATTGTTTACCAAAAGTGTGAGTCATTTAATTATGTGAAAGCGAAACATTGAGTCTGATGTACCATTGAGTCTGATGTACAAATCTTGACCTATTTTGGCGTAACATTGAACATTGACGAGGACTTTGCTCCAAGTCATACAGTTCGATGATAACGTGACATTTAGATAGATAATCATTGTATATGTCGTGTGGTGACAATCTATGATATATCTCTTGACAACTTTTCAACCAGTGTTGGGAGTACAGCTTGGCATCCATTGTATCTGACAATATTATTTTTGTGAGCCGAGAAAATCGGTTGCTATTGCAGCTCAGTGGTGTTTTTCTTACGCATCCACTTGTGACGTTTTTTGATGTCATCTGCTCAAACCTTGTGATGCCCTTACACGTTGGTGACGACGTGTGCATGATGTTGTAATAGTTGTACTGATCACATTGAGTAATTGGTGATGTTTGATCTCATGTTAACTAGTTCAATACTCTCATGTACGTCAATGTGACTCTCGAGTAATGGTCACTGTCATCTCCAGATTACACGAAATGTTGATGATGTAACCTAAAGAGACATCATTTTATTTTAGTTGTATTGATTAAATAAGGCACTACAAGTACAATTTATTTGAACACAATATTCTTTTAGATTATGCAAAATCCATCTTACCATCTTCTTTAACTATTTTTCTTTGAGCACTTTGTCTTCCTTCCTTTTATCCATCTCACCTCCTCATAATCGTTTCCTTTGCACTCATTATCATTTCACTTCAAAAAGCTATCACAAACTTCATGAAGCGAGTTAGTTGTGGATAAATATTTTGAATCTTATTCAATAAATTATGAAAGCAAAATAAAATCATTTATGCTACCAACGATATCAAGTTGCTATTTCATACGTTATGTTTTCGTTTAATCAAATTATATATATATATATATATATATATATGTATACATATACACTCTATAGCTAGAACAAAATTGTAATGTGAGTAAGATAAATCGCATTAATATTATTTTAGGTCAATCATATTTATTTATAACTTTATATCTTAAACTACTATTATTGATTTTTATTCACACATATTTAGTATTTTTAAAAAACACATATAGTAAAATAGTATATTTTACCTTAATATTATTACTTTACTTCAAATGATACTAGAATATGACCCGCGGTATACTAGGGGATAAATAAATTTTAGTTTTTTTTTATATAATTTGATTATATGTATTGTATATATTTGATAAAAAAATTTTTTATATGATCTTATGATTGATTGTGTTTGATTTGTAATAAAGTTGGATTTTACTCCACGGTACACCGCATGTCGATATTTTTGTAACTAAAAACTTTTAAGTTATAAGTTGTAATTATGTTGTTGATATTGTTTCATTTATAGTGTTCTTAAGATTGTATAATTATATTTGATTGTTAGTTTTAGGATTTTACCCGTTGTATACTATTCCGTTTTATTATCGACCCAAACCCGTCCTACCATATAAGTCTAGTGAAAGTAAACATCATTTTGTTATTTTACTTTTTAATAATATTTTATTTGAAAAACATATAGAGAGAAACTACATACCATGCAAAAATATTTGGCATAAGATCCTTACTATTTCATTGTCTCTTCAACGTCGTTCGTTGCCAAATGTATAATACCTAAAATAATAATTAACCAAATAGTATTAAATGTATGCAGATTCATGAACACTAAAAGATTAACAATGAACATGGTATACTGTTAAGATGAATCTCGTAGTATCAAAGTTTGTGGATTTTAAAGACTCTATTTTTGATATTAAAAAAGACGATGGGATATATAGATGAAAATGATGGTCTAGTTAAACTCTAGCATCATAATGTGAAATAAGACATTTCGAAAAGTTTGAAATATTTACATGCTTTGAAAAAGAGGGATACATTTGTGATCATTGCTCCACCAATATATCTATACTAGGATATGACCCGCGGTACACCGCGGGTTAATTATTTGATTTTTTTAATCTTTTTTATAAATAGATAAATTTGTAGTATATAATAGTTTTTGTTGTACACCGCGTATCACATGCGTTGTAACTAAAAAGTAGAAATTGTAAGTTGCATTTGTTTTGTTTAGTGTTAAAGATTGTATAACTGTATTTTTATTTGTTATTTCTAGGATTTCACCCGTGGTATACTGTCTCATATTAATATCAACCCAAACCCGTCCCACCATATAATTCCGTCCCGTGAAATTACATATTTTGTTATTTTTCTTTTTAATAACTATTTAAAAGACATATAATTCGAGTCAATTTAAAAGTTTGCTTTGACATAGTTTCCGTAATATATATATTTTTTAATTAGTGTGTATTTTTGGACCAACCCGTAAAAACAATTTATAATTGTATCATAAAATACTAAAGAAATATATATATAAGCATAATATTAATTCAAAGTTTTGTAAATGGATATTTGCATCTAGTATATAGGTTATGATAATAATAATAATATAGATTGTATATGTGGGTTAAAAATATTTAATTTTTGATGCATCATTTGTTTCTAAATAAAACACACAAACAAACAAAGTTTAAAACAATGCAAACCCAATAAACAAAACCGAAGCCCATATATCCCAAGACAGCAAAACCCAATTTGATTAAAATTTTTATTATATTTTAATATTTTGTAAAAGAAATTAAAAGGAAAAGACATACTTGGAATAGACCAAAAAAATGACCAACGTTTACTCGAGAAAAAAAAAATCGATGGCTGGTACAACAAATCGAGAAAATTGTCGATTTCTCTCCGAGCCAATTCAAGATGGATTCAGATGATCAATTTTTATTTTATTTTCCGATCATGTAATCGAATCTACAAGATGGCCGGTGAACATGCTCCGATTTGAAACATGTTTCTTCTAAATCCCTAGGTAAGATCTTCTCCTTCATCTCAGACTCCATTTTCGAATTTAGGGTTCTTAATTTTCTTCTTATCGATCCTTCAAAGTCTTGAACTCCGATTTTGTTTCACAATAGATTGATCAACACCAGCAGCTCATAGACTTTGCCGATTACGACGATCCCAGATCCAAGAAATTGGGTTTCTGTGTAAAAGCTAAAAGACGTGGAATCGATTTCTTATTTTTTGTAGATATAGAATTCTTCGAATTGAAATCAAAGTTAACTGTATCTAGATCTAGATTGATTTAGGCAATCAAGAAAGAACATGTTGCATCTCTTAATATCGAGTTATGGTTCGGATTGTGAAACCATGGATCAAGTTTGGTGATGCAGAAAAAAAAAACATAAACTTAGGTTCTTTAAATCTGCGAACGATGCAATAATCTGAAACAATAAGGTTTTGCTAACTGATATAGTATATAAATATAAGAGTTCATTATTATCTTGGGTACATAATTCATATAGTCATACTTGAATATAAAACTAACAATTGTTTTGCATTATAGGTGATTACTGCCACGGATATACATATTAACTCACGTACCGGCACTAATGGCTTATCTCCCAAGAGCAGACAAAGGTTAGTGAAGACATATGGTATATAATAACAGTTAGTACTTTAACATTAACCATCGAGATAGATTTAACATTGTTGTTTGGATCTTATATGAGAGCATAATGAAAATAGAATTCTAAAAATTAAAAGAAAATGAACAAAACATGAAAGTATTATAGTGTCAACAATTGGAAAAAATTATCATTTAGATGGTAATCCATTGTATCACTTATAATGCTTGGAGTCGTTGTACCATCAATGATCCTCTTAACAATTTGAAAAAGTAAAAGTGATAATCTATTTTATCAAAAAGAAAGGGAAAATAAATTGGTAAACTAATATATTCATAGTGTAGATTATGATAATGATTGCTTATGGGGTGAATTCTGTATTACTTAAGGTGAAAAACCCTAGATTCTGGTGTGATGTCTGCAAAAAAATCAAAGAAAATTAAACTAAACAAACCAATAAAATTGCAAACGTCAACGCTAAAACATAACACCAATTCACTCCTCAATCTTGACCTTAAGACCAAGCAACTTCTTTGAGTCGACCTTCTTCTCCGTAATTTTTACATCTTCCTTCTCCTCACCATCATTTTGTATTGTTTTCATGTATGCAGGATCCTCAATTGAAACACGCCATGCAAACTTGCAAGGTAAAACATCTCTATAAGTATGCAAAAGAAATATCTTGCTAGATAAAAATTTAGAGGGCTCGTTTATAATGAGGAAAATTGTGGCTGTGGGAATTGTTGGGTAGGAGATTGTTATTTATAGAGGAGATTCTTAGGCTAAGGTTTTGGTAGCGTCGGTTTCAGGATATATTGGAGAGCAAGCCGAAAAATCATAGATACGAATCAAAAATTAGAATGATCCATGCATGTTTAAGGGAAGATTCGAAATCATTATATAACAAAAACAATATTCTTGTTAATAGAATGTTCTAGATGTTTTGGTTTAGGCAATATTCTGATATTTGAATATCTTGAGAATATGCTTGTTGTTAGTTTACAAATCTAAACAAAATTAAAGCGCAATTGTTAATGTGGTTTCCATTTTTGTAGGGAAATCTTGCCAAAAAGATATACTATTAACGATTGACGAAAATTAAGGAAAATCCAAACTCAAGATTTGCGGACTACCACATATAGTTTTTTTAGGAAAGTCTCAATTAATTGGGAAGTTGCAAAAGTGGAAAACGATAATATTTCCCCGAGATTCTTGCAATTATTTTTGGGAAGTCTCATTTTATGGATCCGTAATCAAAATTTGCGGGTCATGAGTCGGGTCAAAATCAACAGATTTCCAGGTCAAATTTTAAAAATACCCGACCCGATTAGGTACCCCAAAAACTGCTGCAAAAATGTATAGTAGACTAGGATATGACCCGCGGGTTAAATATTTTTGTTATTTAAATTTTTTAATAAAGGAAGATAGTTGTGTATAGTTTTGGTTGTTGTTTGTGTTGATAGATTATTTTTGGTGTGTTTTAAAATCGTTTTAAATTTAGTTAAGTCTAATAGTATTTTTTCTTTTATTTATATGGTTTACATAATAATTATTTTTTAACTTTTTTAATACTAAACAGTAGAATCGTGGATTCAAATAGTTTAGTGTAGCAGCAAAATAGGGTTATTAGTTTGGTTTATGTTAACAGTATTTATGTTAACAATATAATAAGTTGTATTTATGTTAAGTAGATAATAAGTTAGATATAGTAATGATTTGTATTATGAAATTGTAATCTAGTTAAGATAAACTTAAACTATAAAGCCCAATAAGTAAAATCGAAGCCCAAACATTAGAAACCCAACAGAAGCATTATTGATTTATTGTTTTGGTAAAACAAAAAAACAAAATTGATAACACTTCAAAGGAAAAAAAAAAACAAGAGGGAAAAAAAAAATTTACAGAACCTGAGGAATGAAGTAATTGGGCCTGTTCGTTATTACTAATATGTTTGGACGCAAGTGGTAATGCAATGTATAGTCCTATAATGCAATAACACAAGTTTTATTAATATATTCTATATTATTCAAATAGTTCTATAAAGTAACAAAAACGTTAATTAACAAAAATATTTTCTCGGGAGACTTCCAAGAATCACCTTCGTCACTTGAGAAAACAATGAAACTGTCCAATTAAAAGAAAAAATCCTTTCTTCTTTGTCGGTTTCTCGACGAATCCCTGTGAAGGTGATGCCTGATTCCTTAAACTTCGTAGTCGATTGGAGAAGATATTTGAAGATTGGGCTACAAAGGCGTCCATAAATTCAGATCCAAACAAATAATCAAAGGGATCAGAGGTAAAAGTATCAAATCCATCAATTTGTTTTGTGATTTTCGATCCAGTTGGATTATATTTATAAATATGCAAATCACTTAATCTATTACAGAAATTAATTGATAGCTTGTGCTTAACATGCTAGATCACAACAAAACGAAACCTAATTTGATTGAGAATTCCCTTCGAGATAAAGTAAAGTGATGGGTTTTTTGCTTACCGGAGGTGATGGCTTCTGAGAAAGATTACTGTGATATGATGTGAATAGAAGATCCAATTATACCATAGAGACACATAAATCGTCAATCGTGTTCACTTAAATAAATCTTTCTCAAGAAAGGTAAGATATTTACATAGTTTTTGCTTTTGAAATAATAGGAATAAATAATGCTTAATCCGAAAGTGATTGTTAAAAATTGTTAGTAAAGGTTAGTAGGAATGGGATTTTGAATCAATCATGTTGAATGTTAGGGAGAAAGAGTTTTATTTCCGGAATTTCTATCTTGCAAACAAAACACAAAGTAAGTATATTTTATAGATTATAGGAAACACTTACACGGAGCTGGAAATGTAGTCTAAGAAGTATATAAGACTACTAAAGTCGTATGTACAATTATAAAGATAAGAACTCATAATCTATATTAATCTCTGTCACTACAAAACTTGTTGAATCTTCTAAGAGTTTCACCGTCTTTGAGAAATGCAAAAGTAGCAGCTATTGGGAAGAAAAGTAAGATCAGCAAATATTTGTAAAATGATTGGTAGCTGTTGTGTTTGGTGATGGTAAATGCTGTTTAGGTGTATAGTATTTATAGGAAAGCTAAGTAGGTTTCGTTAATTCATAGCAAGTTAGAAAAAATATTCAATCCCGCAAGATTTTAGGGATCAAATCTTTGATATTATTGTGTGATTGGAATATGCTAGGATCAATCGTTTATTTAATATTTAATTTCTTTCTATAATTCGTAATTAAGAGGATATTGTTAGGATTTTGTTGTTTTGGAAAGTTGCATTAAGAGGATATGCTAATATTGACCCGAAAGTTTTGGAATTGTTTTAGGAAAGTATCATTATTTGGATCCGAAATTCACAAATGCGGGTCATTAAGTCGGGTCAAAATCAAAAATTCCGGGTCAAATCTTTAAAAAAACCCGACCCGATTGGAACCCCAAAAAGTGTTGCAAAAATGTATAGTAGATATATAAAGAGTGGAATGAGATATTATCACTAGTTGATTTTTAGGTTTATTGCAAATCTTGAGATAATTATCATTCAACTCTTGATATATGATATCATATTTCCCTGTTTTGAGTATATTTTTCATATATATCATTGATCTCATTAAACAATTAAATGAAGATATTACTTCTTAAAAGAAGATATTATTTATATTAGTTAGCTTTTAGTTTTATAGAAGCATAACAAACATTCAATGGTCTATAAATTTGTAATCACCTCAATCCTATTGAAATTTCAATTGCATGATAAAACATGTTTGACAACCTTATATATGGAGAATGGGTATCTTGTTCATCTGCTTCTGTCTTCCTTTGTCGTATAGTCTCAGCGTTTTAGATATATGACTCTTGTGTTCAGAGTAGTCACTTCCATAACACCATTTTCAAACCCAGAATATATGAAGTCGTCGAGCAAAAACTTGGTTTTCTCTAGTGTATTTCAATATATCTAGTGCTTGTATGGCTTGGTTTTCGTTCTTACTGTAATTTCACAAAATGAAAGAGTAAATTTGTCGAGTACTTGATAAAAAAAATAATATGTGATCAACAATTTATTTTCAAAGGAAGAACTAATTGAGAATTGATAACCTTGGCATGTCTCTGGGTTGGTCACGATGGTGTAAGAGTTTTCTTTTTCTAAAAATGTTTCACACGATCCTGAAAATGAAACCCATGTTTTCCTACAATCGGTTTCTCAATTAGAAGAAAATTGTAATAATTCACAAAGTATAAAGCAAAATAATGTTAAAACTGAAACCGGAACAATATATGCAAATCTCGGGAATATGACAAATTTGATACCTTAATTGGAATTACACATGTTCTCGTCGTTCGGTTCTTCAGCCATAATTGACCTGGTAGGAGAAGGAGAGTAAAGATGAACGTTCGAGAAAGAAAAGCGGATACAAATAATGTAAAAATTGTAAATCTGCCATGGCGTAGGGATGAAAGAAGAGAAAGTAATTGATCTGAAAGCGAGAAATTTGGGAATCGTAATTAGAAAATCACGAACAAAATTTAACAATAGAAATTAGCAAGAACGGTTGCAACTTGCAAGATATGGGGAAGATTTTATCAAAAAAAAAAGATATGGGGAGGTCGTGAGGAAGACGGCGAGAAAGAAGGAAAGAGTTTAGGGATTATATTTTCATAAATATTTTAATTTAATGAGAAAATAATTATTGTTTACGCTTGAAAACACAATAAATTGTGACTTTGCTTATGTGTCAGCAGGAAAATGTTGCAGTTTTTGATAAAGTGACTGTTGATTTACTAGATAGAGATTTTCTATTTTTATAAAGTATTCTTTTCCAAATTTTGTAGTCCTCTCTAATTCTGTGTGACTTTGTTTTATTATTTTTCTTCTACTTTGACGTTTTCTTAAAAATATTTTGTGCTTAAACATATCTAACGTCACATATCATATTAGGATTTATAAAACTTAAAGTTATAGTATGAAAACGAAAAATATTCAACGTGCCTACGCATGGCGCAGATTTTAATTTCTAAAACATTAGTTTCTAAAATATTAGTCTAAACGTTAATAACAATAACACTTGTTTTCTAATTTTTTTTTTAAAACACTTGTTTTCCATGTGATCATTAATAGAGTAAAACTTTATCTTAACAAAATCACTTTTTTTGGTTATTTGGAATTTAAATTATTTTGAACTTTTTGTTAAAAAAAAAACTTACCAATTCAGCCCATTAATAGTGTTTGTGTTGTTGTGGAATTTTATTGTCTCAGTACTGTAATTAGTGAGAATCTTAGAGACCAAACGGAAGAAAAAAAATGATGCAAAACTAAAAAAATTGAAGAAGTGGCTTAGTTTTATGTAGCTTTTAATTTTGATGATGTGGCATCTTGAGAGTGCTTTTTGAAAAAGCTGATGTGGATGACTTGAGAAGCTACAATTAGGGAAAAAATCCGGGTTACGCCTAGTGGCGATGTATGTGATTACTAATAATTTTGTATTATCAAAAAATTAACTTTTGTTATTAGTTTACATTATAGTATGTGATTATAATTATATTAAAATACTACTTCAAATGTTTTTTATGTAAGAGGTTTATATTTAAAATTTTCATAAATCTTTTATTAATATTAATTTCAGGGCTCCTAATTTTACATATATTCATTTTAAGCGTGCTTACGTGGCATGATTTTAGAGTGTTTTAAGAAAGTTGATGTGGACACATTGAGAAGTCTCAATGAGTTTCTTTTATTAGTAAGAGATGTTTTTCTTGATGATGAAGAAGATTGTTGTTGTTTTATGTTTATTATTAATTAATTTATTATTTTAATGGATCAATCTATTTAATCATATCACCATCAAGTTAAATGAGTTTATGGGTTGATATAGTTCATTTAATTCTAATATCATTAGATAATGAGTTGAGTTGGATTGGATTATCTATGTGACACCTTTATGCATAGTACATGCTATATATATATATATATATATATATATATATATATAACTTATAAACTTTTCACTAGTTAGTTTAAAAAAAAAAAACTTTTCACAAGTATAACCGTATATGCTTAAAACCTATAAACCTATATATATTAAAACTTTTCACCAGGTTCGAAGCCTACTGAAGACAAAAAAAATTTCAGTTTTTTTTGAGTCGATTGCCGCGTCAGCCGCACTACATCACATCATCGCAGCTGTACAGTAGAACCTCTATAAATTAATACTCGATAAATTAATAAATACTATAAATTAATAAAATTGTCCGGTCCCAAGTCGGACCAATGTTGTGGATGTCGGATTCACACACTCAAGTATTTTTATTAAGTAGGAAAGATTACTCTTGAGGGACAAAAATGAATATCTAAAAACTTATAAAATTGCTACGAAAATTGCTATAGTATTTCCTTCTTCTGAGCCGATCTCCTTTACATGGCCATTGGCCTTTATATTTATACATAGAGAAACGTCATTAAAATGAATAATTAAGTGCAATTATTCCCTCTTAAATGTGTCCGTTTTGATCTTCGGCTTTAATGCCTCAACGTTTGAATTTGAATTGGCTCTGATCTTCATGGGCCCCGCCTTTTGGCCCAAATGTCCTTAAACCGATTCAACCGTGATTTCGATGCCGGACTCATGCCGAAATGCAGTCACTTCGGATTCTCCTTGTGGCGATACCCACTTCGACTGTTCCCTTGGCTTACGGATTCGACGGGCTTCATCCTTTATGGGCCTTTATCTTGACTACGTGGCAATCTTTGGTTGGTCTCGGACTTCTGGTGCGGGATCCGACACCAACAGTTAGCCCCCCAAGTTCTTCGAAGTGCTATTCCAATTCGGAGGACTTTAAATGCTTTAATGACCAAAGATTGCGTTCCGAGGAATCTTCTGATTTTCCCGCCAAGATCCCATCAGTCCTTTAATTTCGGTGCTACCCATATTTACTCGCGTGACATTTGTCGCCATTATGACCGCATATCGTTTATTTACTATTAAAGCGGGAAAAAACCTTCCCACTTCTTCCACGATTTCCAAGACGGTTCCATCATTATCACCTAGCTTGCGTGAGGTAACCTTCTTTTTCATTATTACTTTTACTCTTGATCTTTGTGGTTAAAAACTCCTTCTATTTCTCTCTCCAAATTCTTCTTTTTCCCGAAACTTGAATTTTTCATTCTTCCCAATGACTTCCGATTCCGATAGACCCGAGTCTCCATCTTTTGATGAGAGGCGTTCTAGTAATGACGAGTGCACCCGCTCTAATGATATTGCCGGTCCGCACTATAGATCCACCTGCACCCTTCAGTCCCTCGAACGATTGAAAGAGCTCTGCCGAATTCCACCGGGAATTATGGCGGAGGCGCAGATAGCTGATCCTACGGAGTCCCCAGAAAACCATCGTGACGGCTATTTCTGTGTATATGAGATCTATTTTAAAGGTTGCGGGCTGACTTTTCCTCTTCCCGAAGCCCTAGTTCGATACCTAGCGGCTCTTGAAATCGCTCTTCCTCAATTAACCCCCAATCTTCTCCGTACTGTTCTTGGAATTATAACAATCGCGGCGGAGGCCGGATACGTTATCGGAGTCACTGAACTAAATGAGCTTCTAAGCGTGAGAAGTTCATCGAAGAAAACGGGGTATTTCTCAGCATATCCTAACGCCAACAGGAGCATCATTTCACATCTTCCGAACAAGGATGAAAATTGGCATCATCCTTGGTTTCTGATTAAGAAAACTCCCGCTTCGATTGGAAATCTTGCAGATTTTCTCCCTCCGAAGTGGTCTGCGAAATCTGGTAGAGATTAGGTCGCCCGTATCTTTCCCGGTTGTTTCTTTATCTTTATTGACTAACACCGTTGTTTCATTTCGCAGCTTTCGTCGCTTCCACTCTCCCATCTGAAGAGTTCATCGAATTCTTCAAAATAATTCTTGAAGGGGAAACCCTTTGGAATTCTTTCACTCTTGAACGATTCCTAGAAGCTAACCACAGACTCAGGATGAGTCCACCATGTCATCTTCATCAACTTCCGCCTCCTCCCTCAACTCAGGGGATGTCATCTCGGGCCCTTGCGGCCAAGCGTAAGATGCTTTCCAAGCCGATGGCTGCGGCTTGCGAGGAGAAGAAAAAGTTTCTCGCGACTTCTATAGACAAGAAGGACTACAGTAGGACCCTGCTGGTTGATGATGGCAGCACCGAAGGAGCCAGATCCGTTGCTTCTTTCAGATTAACTCCTCGTCGCGATCGTCATGATTCACGTTCTCCTCGGAGGGACCGATCTCCTCGCCGTGATTCACCTCGTCCTCCCCGAGATGATTTTAGCAACGAACCAATTAAGAACTTGGTTCGCCGGAAAAGAGACAAGTCCTCTCGCAGTGATTCTTCCCCGCGAAGGGAAAAGTCAAGGGCCCGGACTGATCGTTCACCTCGATCATCTCCTCCTACTGAACCAATGGGTCCTCCACGACCGGTTGATATGTCTTCCCCTTCCCAACCTGACAGTGAAAAGACTGCCCGGAGCGCATCTCCCAAAAAGGGAGATTCTGAATCCCGAGATGCTTCCTCGAGGTTAAAGCCTGCTATTGTCCCTCAAGTCAAATCGCTTTCAGGTTTGGTGATTCACACAGTCTTAAAAGTTTTTGTCTTTATTCAGATTCCGATTTTTACAACTCTTCTTCCTTTGCAGCTATGGAGAAGGAAGGCAGCATTTTCCGATGCTTCAAGACCCGATCGGGTTCGATCCTGCCAGACTTCGACAAGTGGCGCCCTGCGATTCGTGAACGCTATTTGCTTCATGCTCATCATTCATCCCGGGTTAGTTCCGCTTTATTTTTCCGATTATGCTGCCGTTCATCGAAATGACTCACCATCCCGATTTCATGCATAATGGCAGGCTAACGGTGAACTTAATGACATGATTGAACATTATGAGGGGCTGATCCTTGGTCGGGAAAAGGAGATTGACGGGTGGAAGAAAAAGCTTTCTGCTCTTGAGGCTGAACTAAGCTCTTCTACCGGCTCCAAGCACGATCTGGAAGACAAGGTCGACAATCTAACATCCGAACTGGCGAGGATTAAGGGGGAGCTGCAGGATCAGTACGACCAGAATTTCAAGCTCCATGAAGAGTTTTCTGGTGTTCAGGGTAGGCTTCAAGAATCCGAATCAAACGCTGATTCCCTGAACAACCAACTTATTGAGCTTAACGCGAAGTACAAGGCGATCGCCAAATTACGTGATTCCGAGTTGGCAAGGTCAGCATCGAAGGCCATAAAGGAGGTTAAGGGACGCGGGATGGAGTTGATCCAAGGGGCCATCCGCTTCATGCAGACCGAGAAGGCTAGGTCAGACTTGGAATCAGACATCAAGGAGCATGAGAGCAACCTGATTCTGTTGGACCAAATCCATGAAACAGATTTCTCCGAGGAGCAAGAAAGGACCGAACTGTCGACTAATCTTTCTGAAAAGCGGAGTCGCTTGGCAGCTCTTCCCACTTCGACCTTCAACCCGCATGACTTCGAGGAATTCTTTACTGAATCACCTCCTATAAGTGAATCGGGTTTAGACTGGGCAGGTAACGCTTGGCTCCTGACGCTTACCACCCTTTTCTTACCTTACGTTTTTTTTTTTTTTAAAAATTAACTGGAACCGTCCTTCCCAGGCTCAAGTGAGACGGAAGATGTCGTCCCACCCAAAGTTCCTGTGACACCGGAGGTCATCCCGGAGGATGGTTGTACTGTGGAGAGCGGACCAGGAGTTTTATCTGACCAAGCACCTGCCAAGGAGGCGAATGAAGCTTCGACTGTTGAGCCGGAGTCCGAGGTGGCTGTTGCTCCGTAGTGGCTGTGTCCACTTTAAATTGGGAATTGTCCCATTAATTTTAAGACTTAATTTCGAACTTGTTTTTGCCTAAGGAGGCTTTATTATTTCTTTTGAACAAGATATTTGCCTGAGGAGGCTTTTAAACCTTTCTAGGTTATGACCCCAAGGGGGTTTGGTTAAAATTATATGCGGGTTTGCAAAGTCCGCTTTTAACCTTTTGTGGCCTTGTGGTTATGTTTTCGAGATTTTTTGGCTGATCAGACCTTTCTCTTTAGAATGCGAGAACTGAGCTC